AGAAAAGAAAAAAATACAGAAAGAATATCGTGAAGCTCTAAGTGCTCTTAACTGTAAAGTAAAAAACCACAACCATACCAAAAGTTAAACATCATAGCTTTGCAAATGTCAAGAATGGTCTGTCCTATATAGATTGGCTTGTTTAGAGTTATAGCACTTTTTAACATATGGATAGCTATAATTTCTTCTTCGAATTGCTTGAAACCTACAAATAATGGTAAACTTGCTAATCGTCTAATTTTTTTATCTTCTTCTGTTCGGAGAAGCTCTACTCTTATATGTTTACGGACATTCTCCATCTGTTTACCAAAGACTGCATTATTTTTTAGCTTATAATACATAATTCTGAACTCATCACTATTGGCTTTTGCTATTTTACATTTACGAATATTTTCCTCAATATATTCTTTCATCCAGGGGGATTGCTTAAACTTGAGTGCACTATAGATTTTTGTGACCTTTAGCCCTTGTCTCATATATAGCTGAAGTGCACGATAATAGACCACGTAGTTCTTTTTGGGATAAAGGGTTTGGACGAGCTTTTCTCCTGTTATATATTTGCCACCTCCCACTTTCTTGTTTTGTACTAATTTTGCATTATATGGACTTAACCAGTTTTCAAGTACTATTTGCTTTTCTGGTACTAGAGGGTAGTCTGCAAAAAAGTCATGTAAGTGTGCCGGAACTTCTAAGTCTACTTTGGGCATATAGCCTATTTCTGCATTTGGCGCAATAGTTTGAATATCTGGTACTTCTTCTGGACCTACCTTGCCTATTATCTCTGTATGCATATATTGCGTCATTGCACCTGAATATAAGGCATTCATGTCCTCATACATGGTCCAAGATATTGGTTTGCTTGGATCATAGTCAGGACATTGAGGATTATTCACTTTGGCATATCGGTGACTTGCCATTGTCATACCTTCTCGAATATCTTTCTCAACCATTAGATACTCATCCATATCCGTTATAAGCTTGAGTTCAGCTCCGCTACTCTTGTATAAAGAATCATTAAACATTCCTGGTGCAGATACATAATGAGAAGGATCTAAGCCGTCATCTTTTAAGCACATGATAGTGTAGTTTATGAAAACATTTGCAAATAAAACTACATCAGTTTTAAGATAAAGATCATGATACTCTCCAAAACTTTGCATTTCAAATATTTGCCATATTTTTTGCACATATTCATAATCCTCTTTACTAATATTTTGTTGACTAAGAATCGAATAAAAATTCTTTTTAGGTGGAAGGCTTGTTCTGTCAAATTTTTCCCATGAGTTTGTCCAGTTATATGAAAATACCCCTTTTCAGAAAAGAAGCTTGATCTTATCTATTAAGTAACCTTTCTTTGTAAAGTATTTTACAGTTAGAAGAAATTTTTCAAGCTTTCCTTCTAGACATTCTACTAACTTATCAAGACCTATTCCTATATGCTAAAAACTATCAAGAAATCAGAGCTGATCTATATCTATGGCCTTATACTTTTCTATATTTTCTGGGATACAATTTAGCTTATCAGCTATGAACTTGCTCACAACTTTCATAAACAGATAAGAGTCATACCCTCGGAAATTATGACAGATAAGAGGCACTTTAGTTTCGAAAGAGCCTATTCGCAACTTTTTGTTACATAAGTCATGAGCTGGGTTTCGATACTTACTACTTATATGGTTGTGGTTTTTTACTTTACAGTTAAGAGCACTTAGAGCTTCACGATATTCTTTCTGTATTTTTTTCTTTTCT